TGCCTTTCTGGGCGCTGCCGCCGCCGCCGCCGCCGCTGCTGTTGCGGACCACCAGGCGCCACCCGGACCCCCGCTGCCACCGGGGCCCCGGATGCCATCTGCACTCCGGGCGACCCTGCTGGCGAGTGTGCCCCAGCCTGGACGCCGTCCCCGGCCTGGTCTCCACTCCTCCGCCACACCTCCCATGACAGCTCCCGCACGAAGATGGCTGCGAAGGGCGCGCACGGCTCCCACCTGAAGGTGGAGAGCGAGATGGAGCGCTGCCGCGCTGAGGGCCACTGGGACCGCATGTTCGAGCTGGTCCGGCATCTGCAGACGTTGGGCATTTCCGGCGGCGGCAGTAGCAACCGGCGAAACAGCCCGGGCGGCAGGTTCATCTCTCTGGACACCGGTGAGTGAAGGAAGGGCAGGTTCGCCGGCCGCGAGTGCGCAAAAAAGCACCGCCTCCTCCAGGAAGCACGGCTCGACCCTGCGTCCCGAGCTGGCGCTGGGTGCTACCCTCCCGCAGCCGAGGCGGTTAGGAAAGTCTTTCTGCCCAAGAGAAAAATCACATGCAGATTGGGGGTTTGGAGAGAAGAAGAGAGGGAACTTGCGCCTCCTGCCCCTTAAGGTCATGTAGGTAACCCTACGGTGAAATGGAGGTTTCTGTGGGTATCAGAGGAGTGCATTGGACGGGGCTCTTGCCTCTCTGACTGCCTAAACTCCCTCAGGCTGAGTTTGTTCCTCCGTGTCTTCTCTTATTTCCCCTTCAGTAAAAGTAGAGAACCGAGCTCTGTCCCCCAGCAGACTTCGACCGAGGCTTGCTGGGCGCCTGGGTAGGTCGGAGAAGAGGCCGGCGAGCCTCAGTTTCTTCTCCAGTGGCGGACACTGGCCCCATCCAGCCCTGGCAGTGGCTTTGGCAGTAGGGCTGGTTTAGCTGGGCTGGGCTCTCGTGCTGGGGCGGGAAAGCGCCCTAATGGGGCGGAGAGAGAACCCCGCCCAGTCTCCAGCCCCAGATCCTGTTTCGGGTGGGTGCCTTGCTTCTGCCTTGAGAGCGGTTCAGAGCCCCCCTCCTCCCCGCGTGTACACACCCACTTTTTCCGAGAAAGAGGCAGAGTAAGGCTGGATATAAAGAGTTTCCCCAAACCACCCTGCCCAGGACGCCTCTGTGGGGAAGGTGGAATGATTATAATAACAGTAATAGCCTATGCCTTTGCTTGCTGTGTGTCAGACAAGTCCTCAGGACTTTAATCAGGCCATCACTCCTCACAGCTGTTCCTATTTGCTGAATATTATAGGTAAATAACTTCATCACCCAGCCAGTAAGTTGCGAAATCTGAACCCAGGATCCTGAGTACACCTTTTCATCTCTGCTCTTTCTCAAAGATGCGTAGAACAGAATGCCCACCCTTGCGGAGAGTCCGGAGTGGATAGGAGGCAGGACGGTGTGCAGTTACGCCGACCTTGCAGCGGTCCTGCCTGACGTTTGGAAAGGGGGTGCTGTGTGCAGGGATCCCGGGGTCTGAGCATGGCCTGGGGGGCTCCTGTCAGCTCTTCCCTCTTCCGGGCACAGCAGAAAAACTGTAGCAATCCCTTGTGGTGGGGCTGGTGAGGGTGGGACTGAGAACTGACGCCCACGGTGGTTGTTCTGGGTAAGTTGTGGGAATCTTGAGTGAGGTTGGCCCCACAGACCAAGGAAGCAGGGCCTCCTTCCATTCCCCCGGGAGTTGCTTTTCCTAAGTTGTTCTTTAAGAGATTCTAGGGAGGCTCAGCGCTTGGCTAACCAGTATCCCCGGGAGGAAAAGGCTAGAGCCAAAAAGGGAAGAGAAGAATGGATTCAAAGATGGACTTTAAAATCCGAGTCTGTAGTCCTAACCACCTGCGAGGCAAAGGCAGAGGGCACTTTCGAGTTTGAGGCCAGTCTGCTGAAATACAAACTGAAATACACAGTTTGAGGCTGTGTATTGGTGAAATTCTTTCTCAAAAAAAAAAAAAAAAAAAAAAAGCCCAAAACTAAGAGGATGGAGCAGAGTGGTGGAGTCCCTGGGTTTGATGCCCAGCACCAATGGTAACCATGAGCAACAGAAACTTTTAGGACTTTTTTTTTAACGTGCTTGCCCAATGTGAGGTGAAGGCAAGGTATACCACGTTTTCCAAATCTGACGGGACCACCTTCTACATAGGCACAGCATCAGTTAAATTCTTACTCGTAACCCCGTGAGGAAGTGAGGAGTTTTCTCCTCGTCTTTGATGTGGGGGACACTGAAGTGAAGAGGTCACGTCATGGGCACTTTGCTAGGGCCTGTGTTCCTTCATGCACGAGGCCTTGCCGGCAGGCTGGCACCAGTGGTCGAGTCGGGGCCCGAGGCTTGAGCTGTCTTTTACCTGAGAACTGACCAATTAAACGGGGAGACTGACCAGGGAAAAACAGGTGGCCTCTCCTGGGCTCTGTGGGTAATATTTCCCTCATTAAATCTAGATACGCTATCCCAATGTTCACACACACACACACACACACACACACACACACACACACACACACGCTTACACCAACAAGAGGAAGGAATCAGATAGCCAGAACATTTTCCACTCTCTTTCTCTGGATTCCTTAGTTACTCAAGAGAAAGGGAATTATTTTTTTGTGGATGTGATGGCACACGTCTTTATTTTCCTTCTCTCTCTCTCTCTCTCTCTCTCTCTCTCTCTCTCTCTCTCTCTCTCTTTTTAAAGATTATCTTTATTTCATGTGCATTGGTGTTTTGTCTGCATGCATGTCTGTGTGAGGGTGTCAGGTTCCCTGGAACTGGAGTTACAGACAGTTGCGAGCTGCCATGTGGGTGCTGGGAATTGAACCCGGGTCCTCTGGAAGAGCAGTCAGTGTGCTCTCATCCACTGAGCCGTCTCTCCAGCCCAGCACACATCTTTAATCTCAGCACTGGGAAGAGGGCAGAGGCAGAGGGATCTCTGTGAGTTTCGGGGCAGCCTGGGCTACATACTGAGACCCCCAACAAAAGAAAAAAAAGGATGTACATTTTTAATTTTGTGTATTTTAATTATGTGTGCATGCAAATGTGTTGGAGGCCCACCCAAAGAAGGTTTTGAATTGCCTAGAGCTAGAGTTATGGGGGTTTGCAAGCTGCCTGATGTGGGTCCTGGGAGCCAAGGTTGGGTTCCCTGCAACCACTGAGCAATCTCTCCAGCCTAGAAGATTATTAAAACCTCGCCTGTTGAGCCAGGCGATGGTGGCACACGCCTGTAATCCCAGCACTCGGGAGGCAGAGGCAGGTGGATCGTTGTGAGTTCGAGGCCAGCCTGATCTACAGAGTGAGTTCTTGGACAGCCAGGGCTACCCAGGGAAACCTTGTCTCAAAAAAACAAAAACCAACCAACCAACCAAACACCCCCTCACCTGTCCTGTCGGATTCTGAGTTGGTGACCGACCGATGGTGACATGATGTGGAGAAGGGCGGAAGGGACTAAGGGATGGGTGGCTGAACCATAGGTCCCCGTTTCACCGAGGTCCTGCTGTGTGAGAGCTTCCTGTAGAGACTTAGTGTGGCATCGTGGCATCAGAACCTAGATGCCAGGCGGGGAGGAGGGGGAGGAGCCGGCTCCTGGGCTGGTTGGCTGAAGCAGAGCAGCCGCAGGCCTTTTTCCTGTCTGAGGCGGCTGCTCCCACCACGGGGGAGGCAGTTGCTACCTCTGTGTGTGTTCTTCAAGCTCACATCCGGTGGTTGGTGAGCCTGGGAGAGGGAACCATGGAGCACCCACTGCCTGTGGCGATGAGGTCTGGTCATGTGAAAACAAAACCGTTGCAGTTATTTTGATTTGTTTTTAAACGACTTTTTTCCTTACTTTTCTTTATTTTATTTGAGGGGCAGGTGTGGAAGTCAGACCAACGTGCAGTTCTCTCCTCCACCCTTTAGGTTCTGGGGAACTAGCTCAGGTCCCCAGGCGTGGTGACAAGTTGGAGTTGCGCTGTCTTGCAGCCATCCAGTGTTTTAATTTTGTTAACACTTTGTTATGAAACATTTACAAAATACTTTCAGGAAAAAGAAGGAAGCTTATTCTATTACCAACCAGCTTCAGGGGTTATGAACTCATGAACACTCTTTTAAAATGTTAACACACAGCCGGGCAGTGGTGGCGCACGCCTTTAATCCCAGCACTCGGGAGGCAGAGCCAGGCAGATCTCTGTGGGTTTGAGGCCAGCCTGGTCTACAGAGTGAGTTCTAGGACAGCCAGGGCTACACAGAGAAACTCTGTCTCGAAAAAAAAAAAATAATAACAAAAAATTAACATACAGCTTAATTTGGTGCATGCACACGTGTATGTGTATTGTGTGTGCAGTGTGTGGGGGTGTGTTGTGTGTGTGCATGTGTGTGTGTGCATGCATGTGGGTGTGTGTCAGAGGACAGCTTGCAGGAGGCAGTCTTCTCCTCCCGCCATGTGGGTCCTGGGAACCAAACACAGCTTTTCAGGCTTGGTCACAAGCACCTCTACTTACCGAGTCCTCTCGATCCATGCTCCTGACGCACTGGCGTTCCTCAGCACATTGCTGTCCCACGCTTTGCTAACTAAGTATGCATTTGTGAGCTAAGAACCCGTTAAAATGTCACCAAGATACCGTTATCGTCTCTCAAAGCCCCCCAGCTTTTGGTTTTGGGTTTTAGCCGAATGACTTGTGTCTTCAAGTGGGAAGATGGTTTTAAACACAGCCGCCCTTTAAATGTCAAATCAGGTGTTCTCGCTCACCTTCCCCTCCGAGGCCGGGCGCGGAGGACCTCATCGCTGCCAGCCTTTGGGATGGAAGCCACAGAAACTCCTTTGCCAGTGGAGGAGAGAGAGGGCTGACTTGACCCACACTTCCTAGCGGCCAATGGGCGTGTGTGTTTTCCAACCGTGAGGGCCGGGAAGGAGGTAGGAGCTTCAAGGGAAGCGCTGGCACCTGCCCCTGAGAGCTCTAGGGGCCTGAGAAGAGAGTAGCTACCACAGGCGTTCAGGACAGGTCAGGGGAGGAGACGATGTGGCTGCCCAGGGAGGCCTGCTGGCCTCTGCTGAGGGCTTCCAGCATAGAGTGGAGTCGCCATGGGTCTGTCAGGAAGGCTTCTTCATAACCCTGACGGGAGAAGCCGGATCCTCTGACCCAGGCCTGAACAGGGAGCAGGTTTGGCCTTTGGAGGACAGGGGTGTGCTTATCCACCAAACTTGACGATGACAATTCAGGCCTGGGGATCCCCAGGTGCCCTTTAGTTTCGTAGCTTTATCAGTGAAGAACTTCAGGATAGGACGAAGGGGAGGAAGGAGGAGGAGAATTGAGCAAAGGAAATAAAAACGAATTCTGATACCTGCTGAGGGAGGGTCTGCTAAGCCAACAGATGAGGTAGAGGAGGGTGGAGATGAGTAGACAGCCAGAGGGGCTGGAGGTGTGGCTCTGGTGGACACCCCTTCAGTGTAACCCACCCCTAGCAGCACACACAATCACAAGGCCGACTCTGCCCGGGGCAGATAGAGTGAGAGCCGCTTACCGCTGCTGTGGGATTCACTGGCAGCTTCCCTCTTGATCATACATCGGAGACTGCGGACTCTTCTTTATGTTTAAACTATCAGAGGCCTGCAAGGTAGCTCGGGGGGGGGGGGGGGGCTAAAGGTGCTTGTGGTCAAGCCTGACAGCCTGGGTCCTCTCCTGGTACCCACCCATGTGGTGAAAAGTGGGACTCAACAGACTCCTTACAGGTTGACCTCTGACCTCCACAAGCCAGACATGGCCAGTGGGCACCCCAGCCTCTGTGTGCCACCCCTCACGTATGTTAAGTAGATGTTTGTTCCTTTGTTTGTTTATCAAGATCTCTGCTCTGAGAGGCAGGAGAGACATTCTATATTTGTTTGTTTGTTTGTTTGTTTATCAAGATCTCTGCTCTGAGGGGCAGGAGAGACATTCTTGTTGGTCTGCGTTGTGTGGTTGGCTAGAACCCTAACGAATCGCTAGACTTCATGAACTACGTAGGACCTGTTATTTAACCTGCACAGACCTGTTATGTCTGTGCAGGTAAAATAAACTTAAACGATAAAAATGCCTGGCACTTAGCAGGCTCACGACAAATATTAGTGTCCCTGTCACAGTCCTGTTCCCTCAGAATTTAGAGCAGTGCTCATCCAACACTTTGGAGAGGGGAGAGATTTTGGTTAAGCCCCATCTGCTCTGATCTCCCCCCAACCCCCCCAAAAATGAGGCCCTGTGAAAACAAAAGAAAAAAATAGTTTTTCACCTTCTTTCTGATTTTTTTAAAAAATCATTCAATTCAGTCAATTCAACAGCGCTTTGTCTGGTTTCTACATGTGCACTCAAGTTTTGGCACACGTGGAGGGGTGTCACAAGCCGAGACCTGCGTTGGTGCATGCCACCCTGGGCAGCATGGCTTCAGAGGGCCCTCCCATTTGTGGAGAGGGACGCGTTCTGGGAGCAAAGGAAGTTTCTTTTGGCCTGAAAGGTATCTAGATGAGGGGCCAGGAGCTCTGGGAGGGCTAGGTGAACAGCAGAGGTGGCTGACACTGTGACAAGGTGGCCAGTGAGGCTTCAGGGGGTGGAGAGGCTCCTGGGGCTAAGGGGCGGGACCCTCTCACAGAAGGAGCCCAGGGAGGGACACGATTCCCTGGAGCTGGCTTGGAACCCCGCTGCAGGGCAGGGCAGAGCCCTGAGCCACAACGTGCATCCAAGCTAGACATCTGCCACTTTCCGGGCTGAGATTTGGAAGTGAAGCTCTCCTTTTTCAGCCCTGGGTTGATTTAAATTTTACTTTTGAGTAGGTAGAATATTCACATAGTTCAAACCTACCAAAGGTGTCACTGGAGTGGAAAGTCCCACTGCGACTCCAGCCTGTTCCCAAGGTTTTCTGACACAGGTGCTCGAGTGTGTGTGCGTGTGTGTGTATTTGTGTGTGCGTGTGCGTGTGTGTGTTCTGTCACTTGCACGGACAAACCCACAGTGGCTTATGACTGCCAGGCACACTGTCGTGCACACTGCTTTTTTTCTTCCTTCCTTTTTTTTTCTCTTGTGGGGTGGGGTCTCATAAAGCTGGCTTGGGACTCGCTCTTTAGACTAGGTTAGACTAGGCTAGCCTGGAACTTGCGGAGAGCTGATGCTGCTCTGTCACTACCAGGATCTGCTCACCCTACCTGCTTCCTTCCTTACAGGGTCTCACCATGTCACTCCGGCTGGTCTTGAGTTCACTATGTAGACCAGGGTGACCTCAAGCTCAGAGAGAGCTGCCCGCCTCTTCCTCGCTCTGCTTTAAGTTGACGTTCCTCCCACAGTTCCACATACAAAGCATCCTCAGCCTTTTTTTTTTTTCTTGTGGCTTTAGGGTGTCCCTTTTTATGGACGTACAGAATTTTAATTAGCCTCCCATTGATGGACATACAGCCTGTTTATTTATTTATTTTTTTGCTAGTGTAAATGCTGCTGAGTGAGGAATTAGGAATAGGTGGTTTTACATGTGCAAACGCATCTGTAGGATGTTGCCAGGCAGCCCCTTGTAGAAGTTTCTTCAGCTTATGCTCCGTTATCACCGGATGGTAGTTTGAAAGGAGTACTTTCATAGACAAGTCTTCAAAATGTTAATTTTTAAAATCTTGAGGTTGGTAGCAAAGGGTCTGATGGTGTCTCCCTGGGGCAAACCCCTCAAGGGACTGTGTGGCGGAGATTCAGGTCAGGGTGCTCCGTGCTTTAGAGAGGGAGACTGAGCAAAGGCGGTGATTCTCAGGGTGGAGCAGTGTGGCAGCTGAAAGCGTCTTGAAAAGGTGAGACGAGCGAGCGGCTGTTCCTAGAGACACTACAGAGTTGACATACCCCCCTGCATCTGCTGGCTTCCTCCCCCCAGAGCCAGGGGTCTGAGTCATCAGACAGGCATTTATTAGGCACTTCCATTGAATAGTTCCTCATCCGGGTGATGGGCAGGCAGTGAGCCGAGCCACCCGAGAGGCTGTTGGACTTTAAGCTTTGCACACCAGACATCTGGCTCCCCTGTGGGGAGTGTGTGTGTGTGTGTGTGTCCGTCCCTCTGTCACAGGTAGCAGGAATGTAGTGGTGACAAGATTGGGATTTCATTGTGGTCGGGGGAAGCACAATCATGTAGTCTAAAGCTACATACCAGGTAATGGGATATGCAAATGAGCTCTATATATGAGAGGACTCTTGAACATAAACATGCTGGACATGTTCAATGACCTGTCTTGTTACGCAAGAAACCGTACATGCCACATTCACTCTTTGCTCTGGCTGCTGGGTCATCCCAAGCCACACTAAAGTCACTAAAGATGGAGCAAATCAATTGCACTCAACCTCAGAAACTGGAGAGTGAAATGTGCTGTTAAGCCACACCCTACAGGTTCCCTCTTCCACAGTTTGGCTGGGTCCTTTTCTTTTTCAGATGAGTTCTTGCTCTGTTACCCAGGCTGGCTCAGCACTCCCTGCAGTTTATGGGAAATGCATCTTTTATTTCCCCGACCTGAGCCGTTCGTGTGCTGGGTAAGGGCAGTTAGCTGCCCAGGATGTCTATCTACCATGCATGTTCAAGGATTCAGGGATCCTTGCCCTGTCTTTCAGATGACTTTGCGAAATTGCTGCTAGCGGAGGCCCTTCTGGAGCAGTGTTTGAAGGATAACCATGACAAAATAAAAGACTCCATCCCTCTGCTGGAGAAGAATGAGAGCAGGCTAACTGAAGCCAAAGATCGTCTGAGCAGCGTCCTGAACAATGGGAAGCTGCCGGTGAGTTTCCGGGTTATCTTGCTCCTAAGGTCGGGGAGAGGCTGGGGTCTCTAGGCAGCAGGTGTGCTCAGGTGGATTCCTCTGTATCCAAGTTGCTCTGATGGGGAACAGTTGGGGAGGGTAGCCCCGGGGTGCCTTCTCCTGTTATCTTGACTGTCCACTATGATCTGGGTGGTCCTGGAAGCCCTGGCTAGCCCACTTTTGTGGAGATGAGTGAAAATTAACCACTGTGCTAACTCCTGCCACCCAGTGGGCTCGGGAATTGCAGCATTTCATGAAGGCTTCCCGGGGACCTTTTACAATGGAATGCTGTTAGCCCCACTTCTGTGACCTGGCAGAGGCAGTCACTTAGCCAATACGGCTCCACCTGCTGTGACAACTCAGGCTCTGATGCTCCCCGATACTTTTTGGTGCTGTCTCCCCAAAAAAACTAGAATAGAAATAAGATGACCAAGAGACTTGGACTGATGAAGGATGGCTTCTACAGGCTGCACTTGGAGAGTGAAATGCTTTCTCGTCTGTTCCTTTTTGTGGGGCGTCTTTTCGAGGGTACAGGGACATGAGGCAGAGAAGGAGAGGTGACTAGGATCTACTTAGCAGGGGAATCTTTACCCTAACCTGAGGAAGTCCTACAGGAATCCTTCTACTTGGCCAGGTCGTGCGATTCGGGTCGACAGACCAAGAGCACTTCAAATTCAGAGTCAGGGCAATTGATGTTTTAATGTTGTCAAGTGAAGACATTAGGGGAAAAAAAAATCACATTATAGCAGGAGAACTCTATGGTTACCCTTGCTTCATCAGAGACAACAAAGATCAGGATGGCTATACTTCATGGCACCCAGAGCAGCTTTTAAAACAGTGAACATTTCATTTTAGGAAAACTTCACTGTATTGCTGTCCCCCCACAACTTAGTGGATGCCAGCGCTGTAAGCTGTCCTTAGTCTGCAGGGGTCTACCCGCAGCCACGCGTGTTCATCGTGCCCTGAATGTGTCCTCCTGAGTCTCGAGGGCCTTCCTCCCATGTGCACCATCCCAATCGCTGCCCATGGCCTGTGTTTATCTTGCTCTTCTCTCAGGGGCCGTTCAAAGCTGGGTTCTAGACTTTGCCCTGTTAATGTCCTTAGCTTCCTGGGATGGGAAGCAAGGGGTGGGTGTTGCTATCTTTCCCTCAAGGAAGATGGGGCTGAGCAGAGAGGATGTGAGACCTCTCCAGGGAATGGCAAAGACACCCCACAGCTCAAAAGCACTGTGGGGTGGATCCCACCGGGGATGTGCCACCTGTGACCATGACTGAGGACGTGGGTGGCCTCTTTAGGGAAACAAATGACTTAAAAAAAAAATCAGCCTTTGAGCATTCACAGTAGTCAGACAGAACAGGATAGATGTGTAGGGGCACCTCAAAGGCATGTGTGAGGATTGTGGGAACTTAACAGAAGAGAGCTTCCTGGGAGCTGGGGAGGCTTCCAGGAGGAGGTGGGGCTGAGGGAACAGATGACAGTCTGGACAGGCATGGGAAAGGTTTTGAGTGAGGGAAGGCAATGAACGAATGGGAACTCTCCAAAATCAGAGAGATCAGCGGGAGTGGAGAATGTGGCTTCCGTAGGGCTTGGCTTTGCCTCACCCCATGTCTCTTGCTTGGCCTCTCTGAGGGAGGAGGATGAGAATGTGGAGGCTCACCCCGGGATCAAGATGCCTTGACCGACCTACCCACTTGCAGACCGGGAAATCACCCTCCTGCCAGCGGGAGAGGTTAGGGCGTGGGACCAGAACTCCATCTCCAGAGTGCCCTTGTGCCAAGGGCAACGGCCAGAGCCTGGGCTAAAAGGCCGGTTGTGCACAGGACTGTAGTAAGTCCTCTTAAGCTCTCTTCAGAGTAGACTAGACTCACATCTGAGGCTAGCGTTCAGAGTTCAAGACTGCGGCCCAGCCAGACCAGCTCAGCCTCTCCCAGTCAGCAGGACTGGCTGAATTGACAGTGAACACCTTCCCTGCTGGGGTGGCTTGGCCAGGGCCAAGCAGAGCAGCTGAGTCCCTAAGGAGGCCCGGAGAGTCCTCTGAGAGGGTGGAGATTTGCATATAAACAGCTCTACAGAGAGCAGGGTTTGGACTGGGTATTTGGGGCCTCCCAGGCTCTGCACTTAACCCTACTTAGGATAAGATGTGAATGGTGACCCAGCAGGCCTTCACCTCTTGTCCTCTGTCCCATGCAGTTAATGCAGCTGGTCCCCCTTCTAAAAGTTGTTCTGCAGGCTTAGACGTGCCAACTTCAGGGTCCTCGTGGGCTCTTTCTAAAGCCTTTCACCTAATTCTCTAATTTCACCCAACACACACACACACACACACACACACACATACACACACACACTCGCACTCACGTATGCACGCATGAATGCACGCATAAACTTTGGCTCACTTCCTGTCCTCAAGTATTCAGAATAAGTGCTGAATTCCTGAGGAGCCAGCCTAGATCGGAGCCTTGTGGGGGGCTCAAGAGAGAGAAGACAGGATCCAGTTCTGCAGCTGCCTGAAGTTAAGACACACACACACACACACACACACACACACACACACACACACACACACACGAAGCAATTGGGGACATGTCATAGCATGAAGAGCCACAGTGGAGGCAGTGGACTCAGTCAGGTGTGGAGGCAGTGGGACACAGGCATCATGGAAGACTTCCTGGAGGAGGAAGGAGAGTTCTGAGCGGGGGGTCTTGGGCTCAGTAGGGGAGGAGTAGGACAGACATGGTGGAAGCTTTGGAGCAGGAACCTGCTAACCTGTCTCTGTCCTTTCAGCCACAGTACATGTGCGAGGCCATGCTGATCCTGGGCAAGCTGCATTATGTGGAGGGCTCGTACCGGGACGCCATCAGCATGTACGCACGGGCCGGGATCGATGACATGTCCGTGGAGAACAAGCCCCTGTATCAGATGCGGCTGCTGGCAGAGGCGTTCGTCATCAAAGGTAGGTCGTGCACAGCTGTTTGCCCCCCCCCTCCGCCCCCCACCGCCCAGCTGCTCCACTCCGGTCTCAGGTGTCTAGAGCAGGCCGCAGCACAGGGCAGTGGGCACTGATGAGGGTGGGTCTGCAAGGTAGTGTCCAGATGGTAACCAGGCCACGGCTACCCACCGCTAGTCAGGGAACGGCAGCCGGGTGCTCCAGGGACTCTGAGGAGGACTCAGGTTCTCACCTGGGCCTTGTTGACAACTAGTTACCAAACTGGGCGCCCTCGGGCAGACCGCCTCTTCACCTTTCCTGGCTTCTGTTGACTTATTTGTAAAAGGAGGTTGCGAGACCAGCCCTCCCCGCGTTCCCGTGGCCAGATGAGTTGTATAACCAGGTCAAGAAAAACCTTAAAAGGCATGCCGGTGCTTGTCAGGGCAGCCCTATCTAGTGATCAGCACTTCGAGGATCTGTCACTCTCCAGGTGTGGGGCCCCTGCTGTGAGCAGAGAGGGGAAGAACAGAGGGGGGCTGCAGAGATCCAGAGATAAAGACTTCCTGTCCTGGAGGAGATCTCCACCCTCACAGGGCAAAGAACACTCTAGAAAAACACAGGGACACAGGATCAGTGAGAGGGATTTCACAAAGGGGACTGGTTCCCGGTTGTGTTGATATCACACACACACACACACACACACACACACACACACACACACACACACTCACTCACGTGGCACACTTTCTGCCCTGGGTCTTAGGGGTGGTGAAATCCTCTCCTCCCAGACTATTACTGAAATTCTGGGATGTTTGAACATCTCTCTATTCCAGTAAAATCAACCCTCAGAGAAAAGTCTAGAAAAGTCACCTGTACTCCTATTGGGATTTAGCTCTGGTAGAGTATGTGGTACCCTCTTCCTACGTGGGGAAATTGAGGCCTAGAGAGGAAATGCACCTTGCCCAAAGTTACCCAGATGGAGTGAGGCCCAGAACCTTCCGTCTGTGATGCTGGCATGGGAAAATGAGTGTTTGCTCCCTGTCCTGATACATTCCTCTGTGGGCTTTGGGTCCTCCTAGGAGTAACTGTAACATCTATGGATGACCTGGACTCTGGCTGGAGGGGCCTGAGGTCCCTGAGTCCTTTCCCTATTGGGTCCCCATCATCCTAGGAAGCGTACCGCATTGGTCTCCCTGGGCAGGTGGCCTGGAGAGCAAGTACCCACATGGTAAGGGCCAGTCTGGAAGGGCCTTCCTCCTCAGCTTGCTCCCCTCACTCTGTGCCTGTGGCACTGGCCGGTAGCGGGAAGTGAACAGTTTTTGGTGCTCAGGTCTTTGGGGGGGGTCTCTTGGGAACCACTTCAGCTGTGGGTGTCCTGAACTGAACATCCGCCCTTGGGGCTCTTCTCAGTCCTTTCTCCTATCAGCCTGGCTCAGTACATATTGCTCTCTGTGTCCTGCTCTCCACTCTCTCCAGCATGCCTCCAGCTTCTTGGGGGAACACAGTCCTGGTGGTCAGAGGTCCTGCCAGGGAGGTAAGGATCCGGCATTGCTCGCGTGGGCCGCTCAGCTGCAGACTGCTCTGGCTCCCCGTCCCTCGGTGACTGCATGTGCCCACCCCTGCCCCTGGCCTGACCGCTCTCCGCTTATCCCCCCCCCCCCTGTCCTGTAGCACTGACCGCACCTGCTGCTTGGCATGTTGGGGTTTGCCTGAGCCCCTGTGTGCTCCAGACCATGCAACAAGGTCATCAGTGTATTCATGTGTGACTTAACCGAACCTGTGGGGGGTCTGGGGGGGTCTCTTCACCCAGAGGGCACCAAAGGAGATGGGAAGGGCTGGTTGTTGGACTGACTTCATTTGAGGGCACCGGCAGTGACGGCAGGAGCCCCGAGCTCACTGGGTCATATACTAATAGCCATTACATCCTCCCTCCAAGTCAGTGTGACCTCACCTGAATCCGTACACCCCCGAGTCGTGTTCTCGTCTTCCCGTGCTTACACATGAGGAGCTGAGGTTGGAGCAGGTGGCTTCCGCCAGAGCACCCAGCCCAGGATTGGAACCTGGGCAGCCAGACCTCATAGATAGCCTCTGATGTCGCGCTCGGAATTCTAGGCGGAAAAGAGTCAGACCAAATCCTTGTGTTCTAAAGAGACAGGGTGATGGAAGGGAAGCCATTCCCCCACTACATCAGTTAGCCTCTATTGAGACCGGCATCCTCCATGCCCCGGAAGCCTGTCAGCTTTGGCTCTTTCTGATTCTGGGTGGTCTCTGAAGGAGCCAGCTTGACCCAGTTCCAGCACCTCCGGCTCTCAGACTAATGCTCTCTATCTCCTTTACCATTTTTGCATGCTCATGTTTGTGTGTGTTACGTGCATGCATGTGTGGATACGTGTGTGTGTGTGTGTGTGTGTGTGTGTGTGTGTGTGTGTGTGGGTCCTCGTGCCTGTGTGTCCATGCATGTATGTGGGGCTCTGGAGTTGATGTCAGGACTCATCCTCAATTGCTCTTCTGCCGTATTCACAGAGGCCAGGTCGGTCTCTCAGTTCAACTCAGAGCTTGCCCTGAGGATCCTGTCTCTGCCTCCTGAGATTGGGACTACAGGCAGGCTCACCCAGCATTTCTGTGGGTTCTGGAGGTCCAGACTTCGGTCTTTATGTTTGTACAGCAAGTCCTTTAACCACGGCGGAGTCATCTCCACAGCCCTAGACGGCAGCTTTCCGACGCTTTTGTTGGGGGGTCCCATGTGGTGCCACCCAGTGCACACCTGGCTAAGAGGGAGAGCTTTTGGGTTAGAGGGGAGCCTGAACTCGCCAGCCTGGGAGGGAGACTTGATGGGGCCAACTGTGAGCTGCTACTCTTCTTCTGGGGTTCGGGACAGGCTTCTGATCTCCCCATCCCGTCCTCAAAGCTGTGCAAGCACACCCAGCTCATCATCTTCCCCTTCAGAGCAGAGGGACTTGGTGGTGTGGCCCTCAGAGCATCTAGAAGGACCTGAGGTACACCTCCTTATCAGACCGGGGCTCTTGTTCCCAGGGAGGCAGAGATGATGACCCTAAACCTCGCCGGGGACCTTGAAAGAGGGCTGGCTGTAGTAGTCTTGGGTTTCTGTTGTTTAAAGAACAGCATGTCTATAGGATGGGGAATATATGACCATTCAGTTTCTCTAAGGGTAAAAAGAGGTATGGTCCATGTCAGGTTGGTTCAGAAACAACAGGGGACTGGCAGAGTGGCCCCCTTGTTTGGTGGCATTCCCAGTGGGTGAGGGCTTTTGTCAAGTAAGATGTCTTTGTCACTTTGCTCTTGCTGCAAAATGTGAAGAGACACCATGACCAGGGCAATTCTTTTTGTTTGTTTGTTTGTTTTTTCAAGACAGGGTTTCTCTTTGTAATATTGGTGCCTGTCCTGGATCTCACTCTGTAGACCAGGCTGGCCTCGAACTCACAGAGATCCACTTGGCTCTGCCTGTGGGACTAAAGGTGTGCACCACCGCTGCCCGACGACCAGGGCAATTCTTATAAAAGAAAGCGTTTAATTGGGGGGCTTGATTACAGTTGTCACCATGATCGGAAGCATGGCAGCAGGCAGGTGTGGTGCTGGAGAAGGAGCTGAAGGGAGACCAGCATGGGCATTTGAAACCTCCAAGTCCACCTCCAGTGACACACTTCCCCCAACAAGGCCACACCTCCTAATGCTAATCCTGTAAGAGTTCCTCCCCCTGGTGACTAGGCTTTCAGATGTGGGAGCCTAAGGGGGCCATTTCCATCCAAACCACCTCACCTGATGACCTAAGTTCAGTCCCTGGGACTCACGGGGTGAAAGGAGAGAACTTACTTCTGAACCTTGTCCTCTGATTCCCATGCTGTGTGCACCTAGACGAATAAATGTATAGAGAAGCCGAAAACAATACAAACATACATTTCCTCCACTAAAGTAGCAAGATACTTTGATGAAAAGACCTTCCATCTCTGAAATTCTGTCCTCTTTCTTTCTCCCGAGTCATTGTCCTTGCTGGTCATAGCCTTCTTTTCACTGTATGCATGAATCCCGACGTCGCGTTTGGATAGTTTAAGTGCCCCTGCGCAGGAGTTTCCTAGGTTATTCAGCCTATCGCCTCTCCTCCGCCAGGCTTACTTGGAACCTTTTGCCATGTGTTTACCCTTCTGTCAGTTCAGTGGGCTCCTTCGTCGGGGTCTGGCCTCTAGTGGTGTTTCTTGAGGTCTCTGGTCCACATCCCACTAACAGTATCACTTGCCAGCAGTCGATTAAGCAGGCCCCTGTTAGAGATGCCAAGGGTGAACAGCTGGGTCCGATCCCTTGTGGGAACGGTGGGCAGGTGTGACGGGGCTCCAAGGGAAGCAGCATTCTGTGAGGAGGAAAGTATTGTCAGAACTGGTGGCGTGAGCTCCCTGGTGCCACTCCGTGTCCTTAGCTTACTTAGGTGGTCTTAACATCAGTGGACTCTGCCAACTCTAGAGAGCAGGAATTAGAAACCCCCAGAGGAGGCGTGGCCGTGGATTCTGCGTGGCCATGATGTCTTGGCCACATCCGCCCCGGCCTATTTCATGAGAGGATCTGTCCTGATGCTCAGCTTTCTGGACGTTTAAGGGGACGGTTTATGAAGAATGGGGCTGTTGCTTCTGCTCCAGCGGCTTCCCTTCTAGTATGAGTGAGTGGAGAGGCCTTGTCTGCAACTTTGGGACTCTGTCTGGTTTTGTGACTCCCTAGAACTCTTGGTTGGCCTTTGGCAACTGGCACAGGATCCATGGATGAGGAAACCAAGCCACCGACTGTTTCTCAAAGTCCTTGGATCTGTTTCGGGCCGTGAGGGGACCGTCCTCAGCAGCAGGCTTCGGGGCTTCTCTCTGCCCTCAGCCCTGGTTGAATAGAGAAGCTATGGGCAGGGCCAGGGGCACATGCCCTGTTACCAGGCCCCATGGCCTCAAGCTCTCACCTACAGGTTGTAGGGGCTGCATTTCAACCCGTGGTGCCGAGGCTGTGTATCTGGAATTTCAGTTTTTCCGCTGAGAGATGGTAACATCCTCACGGCTCCTCCATTACTTTGGCTCAGCCAAGCCGACCGACCTTTCAGGGATTGTCGCCTCTGACACCATGTTTCTGGGGGCCAGTTTCTACACCACCAGCCTCAGGTTTATAGAGATAGAAATGCTAGAAGAATACTCAGAAAACGGAGGAGGAAGCCGGGGCGGTGGTGGCGCACGCCTTTAGTCCCAGCACTCAGGAGGCAGAGGCAGGCGGATCTCTGTGAGTTCAAGGCCAGCCTGGTCTACAGAGCGAGTTCCAGGAAAGGCTCCAAAGCTACACAGAGAAACCCTGTCTC